CTGGGAGTTGAAGTCCACTCATCTTAAAGTGGCCAAGTTTGGACAACACTGAGTTAAAGGAATCATGTTTCACTATAAAAACAAAACACTAGTGGCAGTATTAACTTTTATCAATATATAATAAAAACATCAAGAATAACTACTGAGTACATAATTTATTTACAAAATAATCAAATCCACAGTAATCTCCTGTTGGACAAACAATTAGCATTTTAAGAAGTTATAGCCTAGGTTCCTTCTACCTAATAATGTATTTTTCTGTGAGGAGAGCCTGTTTCTTTTTTAAACACCCAAAGACTGTGTATTTGATGCATTGTTAGGGGAGTATCTTAATGTATGAGTAAGTGTAAAGCAAAGTAGCAGTAATAACAAGTATAACACAAAATTAGCAAGTTCAAGTCACACCTGGAATTATTTTTAAATGGTTATATTTCAAGGTGATGGTAGCCCACTTAAGACTGAATATTAAGATAGACAGCCTGTTATTTCACAAACCAGATACTAAGATACTTAAATAGATGTGAGAACTGCAGATTAATTTAAGGCTAGAAATCAGAATACAAATTCAGAATATCTCATTGTGATTTAATTTCAAACCTGACCACAAACAAATCATTAGTATTTATCTTTGTTTCTGGTTAAAAAGAAGTTTCAAGAAAAGTCTTATAAATTTGAGAAAAAAGACAAGACCATAAATCCTAATAGATTTACACAGATCAGGCTTTACAGAAATATATAAGAACATAACACTGATATGTATGACCAAGCTGGGTGAAATGTTAAAACAGTGAATCTTTAATATACTACTTATCAGAGCAAATCAAACCAACCCAATATATCTGTCAATGCTACTTTCAAATTCATTTCAATCCTCGGACTTAAAGAGTACTATTAATTTTCTTGGATCTACATATACATGACCCAAAATTTCCAGTTTATAATTCATTTAAAATATGTATAGTCACAAAATGGAAGTATGCAAATACCTGAAACTAAATACAATTAGGATTTAAGAAAGAGTTGCTTCTTGCATACAAGGTTATGTATTACATTTTAAAACATGAAAAATAGAGCATGTCATAATTACACAATTTTGATCTCAGTGATCATTATCAGGACTAAAATTCATTCTATGGGCATCTATGAATTTCAATAAGAGTATTAGTATCCACTCCATTTCTTTGTCAATATATTCTAAAATTCTTGGATTCTGCCAACAATAACTTTCTGAAAATAAAAACAAAAAGTGTTTCAAATTCAGGAAAAGAATAACCAAGCATTCAAGAAAAACAATTCTGCACAAAATGAATGCAGCTCTAAAACCACTATCCTGATCTTCAAATTAAATATTAAGATGCATGCTAAAATATTGGTTTTATTTTCCATCTGTCCTTTTGTGGTTATCATTTATTCTTGTTGGTAGGCTTTCAAGCTAGGTGAATTCTGCAATTTCTACCTTTAATTTGGAAGCAGACAAGGAAGATTTCAGCTCATTGTTACATTTTGGTGCTCAGTTGATAAGAATATTTTGAGTTTTTTAATATATTAATTCATTCATGTAAAACTTATTGTAAATGCAGGGCACTGCATAGAAAGCAATTTCAAAAAATATAAAAGACACTGAGGTTAGTACACTATTACACTGAAACTGTACAGTAGAAATACTGTGTGTCTGCACACATAAAATTGATTACATTGTACTTAACAGCATAGATATACAAGTTTCTAATGAATCAGCTTGCATAAAGGATAAGTCTCTTAAATCAGGAGGACATTACAGTAAGTGACTGCTGTTTCTCCCACACAGATCCACAGTACAGAGAAGCTAATGGCATGCAGATAATGCTAACAACAAGAAAGATCTCCCTTTCTTTCTTTTTTGCTTTCTGGAAAAGAAATCCCATTCTGAAGAATATTTGGGCATAATCAGTGAACTATATGACTTATAGTTTTAAATTATAAAATTATAGTAGCTTACTGCCAATTCTCAGGTAGAGATAGATAAATAGATAGATAGACAGACAGACAGACAACAGGGTGCCTATTATTAATCAACACTAATTGGCATAGGCAACAAAACTCCATATAATGGCCATCTTATCAACATCCTTTCTATGTTTTATCTCCTGAGATTAATTTATAGATTGCTCTCTAATGCTTTGACAACCTACACTGAATCCTTTGGTAGTCATTTAAAGAGGTTTTGTTTTTCCTTTCCTTTTTTAAAGGAGAAAACAGCTGTGTTTTGAAAAGAATGAAAAAAAATCTGCTGTACGCTTTTTCTTTGTTTTAAAGTAAGAGATGTTTGCATCCTTTGAATGGTGAAGAATGCATCTTTGATGAGATAGCCAGGCGCTGTCTTAACTACACTCTTCCGTAATTTAGCAAAGCACTCTTGGTATTCTCTTACCTTTATGGTTTTGGTCTGGAGTCTGAGTCCATTTAAAGTGTTAATGGCTTTCTCTGCATCCTTTGGATCAATATAGTTAACAAATCCATACCCTAAACTCTGCCCTGTTGAAACATAAGAAACAAAAAAAAAGGACTCAGTATTCTTTGTAGAACATGTGTACGATTTCCAAATGGGGGATTAAAATTCTTTCCTCTGGTAACCATTCTTAACCTAAAAATTTCATCCCAATCCAGAAAGCATACCTGTACAATCTGAACTCCTAAAAAATAACATTTTTTAAAAAATTATGGGAGCTTTTGTTTTTGATAATGCTGATTCTTCTAGATTCCACAGGGCAGTTAAAACTGTGAAAACTGCATAAATTAAAAAAAAAAAATACTCAAGTGATCACTCTTACTAAATCTTTTTTCTATGAGAATCACATTAAAAGAACAGATGACAAGAAACAGGTAGCAACAGGATTACATGCATAAATTCATTAGCTGTGTGATATTTTAATTAGCAGACAGAATTAAAGAAATGGTTGTACAGCAATGCAAATTCAACTGAAAATGAAAAAAATGTTACGCTTAAGCCAAACAATCTTTAAAAGCCAAATCTTACTAATGAAAACCCATAAGAGATATGTTTTTTCTTAACCTCTACTAGCTTTTTAAAATTTAGAACATTCATATACTGCCCTTAACAAGAAAGCAGTTTACATAAACAAAGCAGAACATAATTTCCAAAAGTCAGAATGAAGATGAAAAACTAAAATGTAAAAGCCAACAAATTAACTGCTGCTTTGACAAGGACAACACAAATATTTAGATCAGAAACATCAGAATATTACGTGCCAGCGTAGCTTATTAGCTTGTACTCTCTGCACTGTGTTCAGGGGGTGAAGTAGAAATGAGCAAAACAGTAAAATTGTTTTTGTATTTGGATGGTAGAAACCGATTTTAGCAGCCAACACAATTTCAACAGCTTTTGTTTTATTGGTAGTGTCTGTGTTTACATTTTACCGGTCATTTTTTTCTAGAATCAACAGCTTAGTTTGGTAACATGATCTAATTATGGGATTCACACAAATATGGATTCACCTTGGCCCTGTAGTATAGTGAGAAAAATTATCTAAGAAAAACTGATCTCATTCACCATGATTTTCTTTTTGCTTGTTCTCTCACATGTGCTTACAAACACACATATTTCTTTTAGAGTATATACTGTATGTGCACACGCATAATTACACATTAATTTTTCCTTCTGTTATCTCAGTATACTGAGTTTTGAAAAACAACAATAGGTCTACATCCACATGTATTCCATCCTCCCTAAGAGAGACCCAATGTCCTTTTTATTCTATTTTTGTGTGTTACAATGTGGTTTGGTTCAGCAGTTTTTAATTATATTAATTATAAAATATGGGTGCATTGTCAAATCTGGCCAAGTCATGACTGAGCATTTTTTAATCTGAAAAGGCAGTACATTGCATAGAGATAGATTATATATTGTCTCCTTTTGTGCAATGTCATCTTTAAGATTGTCATTTTATTCCTTTATGAGTCTGTATGAGTCTTCTGAATGACATTCAGAATCAGATGCCAATACTATACTCTGTGTTTTCTGTCTGATTTTACAAAATGCCTGACTGCCATTGGGGATTAAATGTGGACAAGGCAATAGAAATTGCATCCAGACAAGATGAAAGGGTAAGTTTTCATGTTCAAACTGACAGCATAATTCATCATAAGAGAGCCAATGTAACACAGTGGCTGAAAGACAAAGCTACAGATAAAGAAGCTTGGCTTGAAACTTGTTGCTGAAGATTCTTTCTGAAGAAGTTCTGTACATATAGAAAATGTTGGATTTCAGTATGAAGCATAGATTCTAAGAAGTTATTTCCCTTATTGGACTCTGAAATACAATCAAAGGGTGAAAAAGTCACTTTGAGTCCTAGAAATCAGTTCCTATATGTGATAAACATACTTCCATGGAGAGACCTGGCTGCTTAGCTGTATTTGATCAGCCTCATTAATATTTCTAATCATGTGCTATCCAGTTATGAATGAGTTTCTCAGCTAGCGGGTTTATCAAGCTAAACTCAAGTATTTTTAGAATTATAAACTTCTTCTACTTCACCCATAATGTAATATAGGTATTCTAGGATCTCCCTTTTCTAAAGCCAATCAAGATGTGCTCCAGCCTTTGTTTCTAGTTCTTTAACTGCATTCTCCCAAAGCTAGCAATTTGTTATTCTTTCCTTATTCTGTTTTAGCAATCCCACATTCTTAGCTAAATAGAAGTAAATTTCCCAGAATCCCAAAATTCTGCCCTTCCCTCCCATAATTCCAGAGAAATGCACACAGACTGTAAGCATACAGAGAAACCCCAGCCCATTGCTTTTGAGGAATTATTTGTGGCTCCCTAGCAAGGTAAGGTTTGTGTAGACCTCACATAAATGTCTGTTTTCTCAGAGCCATAGCTGCCTTGTGCTTCAAAGGCCAAATTTTTATGTCACCTGCCTGAAGCAGGGCCACTGTCATGGAATTTCTCGGGGATAACAGTGTGAAATGCTGTTACAGCAGTGAGAGTCGAAATAAGGAAGGACACCAGAACTTTTAAATGTCCATTCTGATGCCTTTAATTTATTTCATGGCCAGGTTCTTTCAGCTTTCTAGACTAGTATAACAGGACCCTAGGAAAGCTAATCTTTTGAACCTGCAGGCATGTCTTCACAGAGACTTTCTGTGTGCAAGTTGGTGTTTCTCCACACTTTTACTCCAATTCCCCTAGTTTGGTGCCTGACTTCTTCTATTTTTGACTTCACATTTTACTCTTTATCTTATATTTCAAATCAATTTACTAGTTTTTTTCCAGATAATTAGAATTTGTTTAATAACACATACATATACCCCCACACTTAATACTTTGATTGTGTGCTTATATGTATTGATAAAGACTGTTCCAATTAAAAGAGATTGTTGCGTGTGTATGACAGTTGAGTTCAATTCACCAAATGCAATTCTGGCCACTGTTTGAAGTTATCTTGATGTATATGTAATCAGAAATTAAATGTTAGGAAATGTTATCTCAGCCTCTTCCTTAAATATGGGGATAATAATACTAATTTAACAACCACACAAAATAATTTCAATTATAAACTGAAAACTATGATCACCTTATGAAGAATACAAGGTACAAATTATGCTCCTAACGCCTCCTTAGGTCACAATGGCAAGGTAGGCCTGTCTACAGAATTTCTAAATGAAGTGAAATCACTTTGTACTTGTCTGTTTTTATGCAGCTATTACCTAACAAATGACTGTGTAAACAAGACAGAAGGTTTGAAAGATCAACTATATCAGAAATAGTCAGATGTGTACTTTACTTGCATATGTTTGTGACTCATCTGCTGAAATACTCTGAAATACTCAGAGAATGAACTGGCCCAAAACCAAAAAATTACTAATAATCTAACTGAAAGTAATGAGATATATTATTTAACTTTTAAAATCGACCTTAGGAAAATTTTCTTAAACTTTACTCTAAAAAAACCCAGAAAGCTGATATAGTCCCTTGGGCCTGACAATTTGCCATCCTGTCCAAAAAAAGCTTCAGAAGTTTAATATTATTTCTGAAAGTGTTTACAGCTATAGCCTCATTTTGGAACATGTAATTCAATTACATTTGCATAAATTATTTGTACATTTGCCTGAATTATTTGGTGATTGATGAAAAGCATACTCAATATTTTCTTATTATGTTGTTTTATTCCTTATCTAATAACTGAAGGGAAAAGGTCAGATCGAGATCTGCTTAATTCTTGATCATTTGTCACCGTTGTTCCCGAGCAACTGCTTCACATACTCATATATATTTATGTGTGTGTTTCTATAGCTCTGAGAGCAACATAAACACTGTTATATACTAACTGCAGTATATATCATATTCCAACTTAGTGATATATCAGCAATCTCATGCTTCGCATAAAACTGCTTCACTTTTGTGTCTTTGAGCTGGAAAACAAAAAATGTCTCAATTACTGCTTTACACTGCATGGCTTAAAATTGCCAGATTAAGATATAATGAAACTATATGGCAGTTACGAGAATGGAGAAGAAAGAGGTGTATTTAATTCTATCCTTTTTGGTCAATCTATAGTTCAGAAACTTTCCCACCTGCTTTTATTTTTTTTAACTTGGCAGCAGAATGACCCTTAGACCAGGATTTCCCCTTGCTGGCTAGGGAATTCTGGGAGTTGAAGTCCACCCGTCTTAAAGTTGCCAAGG